TGTACGAGCAGTTGAAATCAAAACCTCGCCTCTCTTTTGATTTCCCCTCCAAAATGCAATTTGGTGAGTTTCTATTAAACCAGGTCCAACTCGACGGATATATTTGCCAGAGCGGGCCTTATCGCTGTATAATTTAGATTTAATTTCCGATAAATCAACAAATCCGAACTTGCTGGTCATTCAAACTACTTCAAACGGCCTGACTTCATGTTTGCCGTGGAGATAAGACAGAATGAAGACAGACGTGAACGGGTCGGTGCTTCGTTAGTGGCTGAATCATCAATTTTTTCTTCTCTTCATTTCAGCTGTCGATGCTGACTGGATCCGGGAGAAGGTCAGCGATGTTACGATCGGAATCCGAGCCAAGCCAAGTCAAAACGCCTTAAGAACGATCGGATGTTGCCAAATTTCTTCTGATTGAAGATTAAGTTTCGAAAGAAATCGGAGAATATTTGGATCGCTTGACAGGGTGTCTACTAAAACAGGCTGGTTAAAAATAAGTACTTTTACAGTACATTCTCGAGAAATTCAGTGCCTCTTCCAACAGGAAAAATTCCGTACTTTTTCTGTGCCTCCAATTGAAGAAATTAGAAAAATTTGGAATTGCGACAAAAATGACAAACAATTTAAAAAATTCCGGATTTTTTTGCGGAATTACCGCACTTTATCAGTACTTCTGGACCGCCCTTAAAAAATCAGTGCTATTTCCGGACTTTCCGGAAATTCCAGACTTGTAGACACCTTGCTTTAGTAAAAAGGAATCAGCGAGATTACAGCGTTGAAAAAATTGTGCATCTTCAAACTTATCTAAAAAAAATCTCTCTGAATAGCAAATAGTTATTGCTCTCCACCGAAAAATTGGTAATTTTAAAGGAAAATAACTGTGCAAATTTTAATACTGTACACATATTGAGTAGTATTAAAAGGATAGACGAAGTTGCGCAATTTGAAAGCACTGTAATCGCGCCGGTTCCTTTTTGCTAAATGCGATCCACTTATCTTTGAAATTTTCAGATAATGTAGATTTAACTACGAGCATAATCCTCCGAAAATTCGGAGGTAGAATGTTTACAAATTATCCAAAAAATTCGTGTTCCACGAGAGGAAATTTGGCAACGTCTAAAGGCGCATGCGACGTTCTTCCATGGCACCGGAGTACGGGAGAGAGGCTGGGGTTCGATGCTCGCCGGTCGCATTGATTCGACTCAATTATCGGACGGGCTGAAGGGACGGGGATGGAGAATGAAGGGATGCGGGCTGTGTCATTCGTTCTGGCCAACGGCGACGCGAGGGATCTTTCATTAGATCCCTTTCTATCGATCCCACATTAGAAAAGGTTTCAGGCCCGCTTCTACCTTCTCTGAACACATTTAACTTCCTGATAAAGGGATACTTAAAGTAAATTGGACTGGACTTTGCAATTGGGAACTATAATTTCTGATTCACCTACAAAAGCAAATATCGTCACCTTCCGGCCGGAAGTATCACAAGCGCCATGCGTCGTTTAAAAATATGTTCCGCCATTTTATTTTTTTACAGAGAAATTGTTGGTTGGATTTGTTTGAAAATTTCACTGAATTTTAAGGTAAAAGTGCGTTCGAGGTTTGGCACGAATCTAAATTATTTGAAAAGTGCCCACCGACTTCAAGGTTTGAAATCCATCAGATTTCACTAGGCAAGGATCGAAAAGCTCAATATTTTTAGCTAGGGAGTTACCTACTTTCGAGAACTGAAGATGGTTCCAAGAATTCTTGATTTCTTGCATTCCCTAAAATTTCTTAAATTTTACAGAAATGAAGCTTGAGAATTCGCAAGTGCAAAAAAAAAATAAATAAATATCGACCTCCCCACTTAATGACTGCTTTTTGATGTCAAGTGAATAAAGACCACCGATCGAGGCGGAAAAAAAAACAAGTTCTCGATTTTAAGGGCCAACTCCCTCATTTTTCCGATCAAGTACCCGATGAATGCCGGTACGCATTTCCCAGTTTTCCCAAGTCTTAGGCACCAAGGAACTGAATAAAAGCATTTAATTTTCACTGAAAATTTTACTGTAGATTCCCGTAGAAGATAGTTATAAGAAACGTCAATTTTCTTTAAATTATTTTAATGAGGGTATGGTATTCCCAATAAATTGTGCCATGGAAAAGCTTTCTAAAAAAAAGTTTCGACATAAGGTCTCATCAGCGGCTGTTCTAGTTAGTTGGCAGTACTGTTTATCCATTCTCCATTTAAATCCATCACAAATGATCGATTTAGGTGAGGCAGCTTACCTCCGCGCGCTGTGCATTCATTGTTAAAAATACATTTCAATGGATGAAACTCGTGTTGCCAGTTTTCAACGATTATTGCCTGTTGTACCTGTTGCCAACTTTACTATGGTAAATAGCTGAGGGGAGTGAATTTTCGGGATAGTGAAACAGGCACAGTTGGCTTCAAATCTAACTCTCAGTGATATCATGTGTTCCTCACGGTGCTAAGTAAAATGGAATGACACCATATTTTCCGTCATTAAATTATTTGCAATCAACATTGTACATTTTAGGACGTCAGACATGGAGATGTTGCATGTGGGAAGAATTTGCGATTTGACAGTTGATTCGTATGTGAAAGTTCGCGAGAAACACGATGGTGCCACTGGTTTTCTCTGAAATCATCTCCCAAGCTCAAAACAAGCACTCAAGTTGAGGCCAAAATGGAGGGGATATCCCGCCCTACCCTCAGAGTCCATCTCTACATCAAGACAAACTCTCCATGCAAAGATAGGGAGCAAATTCAATGACAAGGCTGCCACTTTATTTGGGGACTCTAAAACTGAAAACACGGCAATCCTGCTAATGTATTTGCTCCCTATCTTTGCATGAAGAGTTCGTTTTGATGTAGAGGCCGGTGGACTCTCAGGATAGCGTGGGATATCCCCTCCATTTTGGCCTCAACTTGAGAGCTTTCTTGAGCTTGGGAGTTGATTTCAGAGAAAACCAGTGGCACTATGGTGTTTAAGAATTTGCCGAATCAGATTCTGATCTCTTTGGATTTCCCTGCCACAAAATCATGGCCAACATAAAATCTGCCGAACAATTTATTTTCAGGGTTCAATAGGGCAAAAGCTTTTGATGCACCTACTTGTGCAGAAATAAATCAAAATGTTCCCGCAGCCTGCGGATTATTCCTTAGAAATTGCAGTCATAGTTGAAGAATGATTTTGTGCTTGGTTATAAATTAACTTCGTACAGTTTTCATGCAAACAACTATGTAAGCTGTGCTTGCACGTTGAGCCACTCAGCTAAGGCCAGAGCTTAGCCTGAAAGCTAGCTAAAGAACTCTGGATCTTGCACTAAAAAATCTCACGTTTAGTATCAAAAGAAAACAACTCTTTTTGGCACTTTCCAGGTACATCAAAGAAAATACTTATTATTCAAATAAGCTATTAATTAAAGCTTGCACTTTATTTGTCAAAGACAGCTGAGAGTTTCTTCATCATAACTGCCTTAGATTTTTGCAACTCAAAAATAAATCCCTTTCATTGTCCCTTTCAAAATAATTTAAACTATTTTGCGTGATTAATCGCTTTCTTGACGCTACAGGTTAACTTTCTCAACCTAACTCGAAACTGGATGTTGGAGTTTTTGGCCAACGTGCGTAAAAAATACGCATGTTGGCTAAAAACTCCAACATCCTGTCTTACGACCCGTGCGTTTACCGCAATCAATTTGTGTAACTTAAAACTGCCAAAGAAATTTGCTGTCTCCTGATAGTACATCTGATTAATCCTTAACGACTAGAGATGTCAACAGGCAAGTAGGCGGTTATTTCCATTCTGTTTGCAAGTGACCGTGATGCAGTCATCCAATAACACTAGTGGATAGACTAGGCTTGTGATCGAGCCACGGTCAATTCTCCATCGCTATTGGAGGGTTGCAACGCCATCACTTGCAAGCAGAAAGTAGATGGATGCCAACTCAGCTGACGACTTCTCTTATTTGTTCCTAATTACTCCTCTAAATTGTCGCTTTGCGACTGTTTCTCCAATCGAAGCTGTTAATTCAGGTTCTAAGAAAATAACTTTATTTTTCTAGATCCTAAAAGCTGAAAAACTGTCTGAATCAACTGCGGTTAAAAAAGTGCCAAGACTAATAATGTTTGCAATCAAGAGAGGTGATAGATATGGTGGGAAAGGGGAGGTCCTCCAAAGCCTAACACGATCACCTAACCTCACTCATTGATACCTAAGTAAACATGCAATTTCAGAGGTGATTGGATACAAAACTAGATGGAATGCCTTGGAGTATATTCTTTGAAAAGAGAATAAGATTCTAGGGATGGTTTCTAGCAATTTATGGGCTGAAGAGACGCAGTAACATATGACAAGGTCATCAGAAAATTGAGGTTAAGTTGCGTTGGAAATTTACCGAACCCTCAGGTGGAGGATTAGTCTTGAGATTTAAGCTGTACATTTGAAATAATAGGTGGAACAATTTTGGTTCTGTAATGCATTCTGCTGTGCTGACAAAGGAGCCTACTATATATTCTACTTCCGTAATCGGACGTAAACGTACAGTGTAACCCTACGCTCGAAAAGCTAGAGATGAAATGTCCATGAATATGGATAACAACTGGTAAGAAAGAAACATTAAGACCAGTGTGCCAAAGATCTAGATTAATAACAACTGAACAAGAGCTAAGATTTAGCACGGATTTCAGTTGAGAAACAAAAGCTGGAGGGACCCTCCGATGCATTAGTAAACAGAGGGCGCCCAAAATTGAGCAATATGATAGGACTGTGTGGCCAGACAGAATCCAACAAGTTTGTCCTACATGTTGCGAAACTCGGAAGCGAATCGGTACGAAATCGAGGAGTTTCAGCATAAAATTGCGAATTGCGCAACGGAACGAGGGCCTCTCTCCGGCCGAGACGCGCTTCAGAATTCGCGGAACACGCCTTGCGTGCGATTCGATTCACGAGAGAAAAACAAAATGGATGGAGTGTCAAAACATCTTACCGGGTAGTACATCCCTTGCGGGGGAAGGAAGAAAGCTCCTGAGCCCCACAGCTTGACTATTTTCTTAAACAACTAGCAACAAGGAAGTCATGCGACTCCGAAAAACAAGGGTACTAAAAAAAATCACAGCACTGCACGGGGAGGATCACATGTGGAAACTATTACTACGAATCTCGGCGTGGAAAATCACTATCCTGCGGGTTCGGACACAACTTTGGCATAGACGACCGTCCGCGAATTTGACTCCGGCTCGACTATTACGGATTAATTGGATATTACGGGAGTCATGAGGCGATGTGTGGCAATTGTGCGTTGATTCTCTTGGCGTTCATTCTTCGTCACTCGCCACAAACTTGGACTCACAGGCTCAGTCCAGACGCGAAGCGAACTCAGATCAATGCTGAGAGGCCTAGCTGGTGCCCGCTCCCGCTGCCCCCACCCCTTTTCTCTCCTTCCCCCTCCCCTCCGCGTTCCCTTTGCGCCTGACTCACTCTCTCTCGCGGCCCCCTCCCCCCGTTCCCCCTCCATTGAATCAGCGCGGTGTTGCCACATTCACACATCGAAAAACCACATCCACTGTTTCTTTTTGTAAAAAAAATTGCGATGAGCTTTCGTACTTTGCCCCCTCCTCACCCCCGTAGCTCGAGCATAGGTGGGAAAAAGGGATGAAAAAACTTTGGTGAAGTCTACATGGACTCCTCAAAAAAATATGGGGAGCTTCCAGAAAAAAAAATGTGTGAATTTTTGCAACGTTTTATCATGCTATGTTTTGGCTCAAACTTACTAATCCTTGATCTACATTTTTTTTAAGAAAGCCCCCGTACCCCCTTTGTGGGGTGTCTTTTGGTGTCCCCACCCCATGCCTTTCTGGCCTCCCCACAAAAAAAGCCCAGAAATTTTTGGACAGGAAAGGGACTGAAGTATATAAGATGGTGCTGAGGGGACGGTTAGAGAGCATTTAAATTGTGAAAAAGTAAATTCAAAAAGCACATGAGTCTGAAACTTTCTATGTTTTGACGTGTGCGACCATAGACGCGTGTATGTGTGTGTACCTAATACAGTGTGCGCGCATGTGTGCGCGTCTGGATGATTACGACGGTAAACTACGCATAAAGCTATAAAGGAAAATAGAATAAAAAAAAAATAAAAAAAAAAATGAGAGAAAAACTGCGATGAGATAGATTGAGCAAAAAAAGAGAACGCTGGACCTTGTAAAAGCTTAATATGGGCGCGATGCAATAAAATAGATAAGTGACGTACCGCAAAAAAATGCGCTGGTATTTTCAGGTTGGCCAGCATAACTCTGTGCAACCGCAAATACTCTGCAAAAATAAAACGTCCATCAGACAAAGTAAATACATTTTAAAAACTCGAACTTATACCTACTTTGCATACACAAAGCATTTGTCAAACAAAAGTAATAGCGATGAATAAAATTCAAATGGATGCGTGGGCGAGGGCAAGAACTGGAAGTTATAAATATTAATTTGGGAAGGGGGTGTAGAAAATTCATTCCAACCCTCCCTACGCAAAAGTCTAATGATCCAACCGACTGCAATCTACAATACAGATTTCAAGAAAGCGGGAGAACTTTTCAGATTAGCCTTTCAATGAGCAAAGGAGATGATAAAATTCCTTTATTCAAAAATTCACCGAAATAAGTACTAATGAAAAATAAGTGTACTCGTCATGTCAATTTTCCGTCGTCAGTTCTCCAACTGCACCGGCCGCCATGCGCAAAATTCGCCGGAAATCGGAGTACTGGTCAAACGTGGCGCCTTTAAGAAATCAGACGCAACCCGCCGCTCATTTACTATGCGCACAAATGCAAAAAATCATTTTGATCCGTAAATTTTTTTTTTTTTTTTTTGGCTCCTATAATACTTGTCAAATGTGATTACTTGGACTTATTCCGACTACACTGTGCCGAGTACCATATCACGTACCAAGTAATCATGTAATCACATGCACCATACTACGTGTGCAGTAGCTTCGGCCAGAAGCTCATTTTGTACAAATTTTAAAATCTATATTAATAAAAGTACTGAAGTATGCTTGCCAGCGAGGTGATCAATGGGGGTCGCCTCTGTGTTACGAATACGCTACCTAATCGAAAAAAAACAAGAGTCTGGCTATGGATTATTCTTCTTCAAATCATGATTAGGTCCCGAAGAGTCCTACTTCCTGATTTTGAGACTTCAAATGAAACTTAAGTGCAAGAAAAAACTTTCATTACCTACTTGGATATTTCTTACAGCGAGCCCTCAAGCAAAACCGAATACCACGTACCTACTTACAATCGCCGTTGATACCCACATGATATAAAGACGAGAAAAAGGCAGAATCAAAGGAACAAATGTCAAGATGGAAGACTTAAAACTTCAGCCAAGATCTTTTCCCATGTCTTTTACCGGCGTCGTTTGTTACGCGAGATTTTGATGATGGACTTGACATGACGATGATGAAAAAAATATTGATGAAGAGGCCGAAGCTGTTAACGGAGAAGCATCTTACTTACATCCTCATCTAGCGACACGTTTAAATACTGTGAGCAGACGAGAGAACGAGGGATATTCTGGGCCTGCCATTCTTCATATGCATACTTCAAAAAGATGAGTAGATAAAGTATTAATTTAAGCAATAAAAGGAAAAGTTTGTGACGAACATGAGGCTGAGATCATTTCCTACCCAAATGGTCGCATCAATTTCATTCCATTCTTGATTGAGAGATCGCTTCATTTCTTCCTTTCCACGTCTCCGATTGAAAATTTTAGAGTAATTCATAATCGATCGTTCATAACATAAATAAGGAATGAGAAAAGGAAATCCCGCGCACCAAATACGGCAACCAATTGAATTGAAGTTCACTGTGAATAATCGAAAATAGATCGTAACGGCGCGGCAGATAGGTGAATGAATACGTGAATAGCGAACCCTCATAACCCTACTGGGACCGGAGTCAACAAACCGGAAATGAAGAACGCGGACCGGAAATCGATGAATAAATGAGGGGCATCGAGTGGCTTTGATTTCAGCAGGTAGCAGTTGCGCGATATTACACGACGATGCAAATTAAATGATAACTCACGCACAGAGGCAACAATTATTTCGTGATTGATTCTGTCAGTAAATATAAGTCTATAACCTGATGATTTCCTCCCTTAAATTAATTCAAAGTCATCTCTAACGGACCGATTGGGGAAATAAGAGTGGATTAATCAAGAACCAGACATCATTTCCGGGTTATAGAACAAAAATTGTACTTTCGACATTCTAGTTTTAACCCTCAACCAATCATTTTATGTACTCGAATTTTCTAAAAGTCACTATTCTATAAACATTGATTTGTGAGGCAATTAACAATTATTGAGATATCTATATAAATACCACGAGTATTAGTGCCTTAAAAAAACTTAAAAATTCTTGTCCATTTATCATTGCACTGGGGCTGTCCCTCAAGGTTGATCGGCTGTCCTTCCTCTGCAATTATTTTGTATTTTTTAACAGCACTGAAGACACTTTTTGAGATACAAAACCACACGTTCAAGCTATATATCAGCTCATAATGAAAATACAGGTATGGTTGAATATACCAATTGCTGGCAGACCCTTTGTTACTCACATCCTGAGTGTTACTCAGAGACAAAAAAAATTTTTGAGACTGCATGAGTTTCCCTCAGATGTATGTGAGCAAAGTAGGGTCCAAGCCATCGAGGGACTCTAGTGATGCCTGTAACCTTTGTCTAATTTTTACTGAAACACAATATTGGCACTTCGGCATTAAGATGTAGGATTTTTCGTTAAGCTCACTGGCTCATCAGCATAGAGAAAAAGCAGAGGATTAGTTCAAGTCAACTCTCACGAGTTTTACGTGTCATTTTTTCATTGCACATTTATGTAAATGACAAAAAATAAAAGTTAATTTTTACATTTTGTCACTACTCGTCACTTGGTACAATGGTACTTAATAAAAGAAAAATTTATTATACAAAAAATGCTTAAAATTTGTTTTTCTGTTTGGTGAATTGATAAAAGCTTATTGAGAGCAAAACCTTGGCTAATTTAAATATGTATTCGAAAAGCCATGGGAGGAATCTTCAGCTTATGATCGCCTTCTGGTTTATCTCTATGGCTAATCAGATCACACCACTTGCAGGGTAATAGTTTATTATCCTTATGCCTTTATCATTAGACAAGATAAGACTCGGGTGAAATGCAACTAGTTGATTTCATTGCTCTTGCATCACAACTCACAAAAGTTCTCTACGTCCTGCCTTCATCAGGCCAAATAATCTACAAGCTGAAGGCAACATGAATAGTGTAGCGGACCAATTATTAATTGTATAGATTCATTTCACCCTATTCTTGCATTGCTATGGCAACGGATCACCCCTCGGTAGAAAAGAAATTATTAGGAGAAAAAGTTTCTTGGATTTTCTTTACAAGATAGAGCCTTTTACAGTAAATTCTGTACAGTTTCCTCCTAACTTATTAGCATATTAAAATTACTCTTGTTTGTATTCATCTACACTCACTATTCAACTTTTTTTTTTAAATTCTTCGTAATAAGCCTTATAATTCATCTTGTTTTCTAACAGGCTATGCCAATCAGTGTCAAGTTTTCTTGTGGTTTTTTCTTCTATTTAATTAAAATGTAACATATGCCACTCAAGGTTTTCTTTTAGCATATAAAGCAGTTTCAGTTTACACCGATGTGAATTTAAATTTTTGAAATAAATAAAAATCTATCTATCTATCTATAGTTACCTTTTCCCCAACTTTGGTCGAGGATTTTTTAAAAAGTCAGGTTGGCATTTAGAGCTAGAGGAAAACATTGTATTGTAGATCTTCCTGAATGTTTGAAAGGGCAACATAACATTTCTCCTCTCATTACAAACTACATACAGGGATAATAAAAGGACAAAGAAGAAAAAAATCGTAAGGAAAAGAGGAGACAATTTTTACCATGAAATTTGCTATTTAGGGAGCCCCTGCTAGCTAGAGGGACCCTCTTTTATTTACCCAAATTTTGCCCCCCCCCCTCTTTTTTTTCAGCACTTACGCTGGAATTATCTTGGCAGATTGCCAAACGTATATAATGAAAATTTGCTGTGCGGCTTCACTAATCCAAGTTCTCTTCAATGATGAGACACCGCAGCCACTCAAAATTAAAGTTTGTTGGGGTGTGTCAGCATGAGGGTCCTAAACAGTTCACAACCCCTAGGGATTGAAATTCCTCGACCTGATACATAATGTATGTAAGTACCTCTGTTCAGACTTTTAGTTGCCTGCGACATTGTGAAGCAACATGCCATCTAAATTCTAAGCGATAAAAAATTCTCAATCAAAAATTTTTGCCAAACAGCAACTCCAGGGGAGGGAGCATCCTAACCTTAAAACAAAACAATACGGAGTCGGGTCGCATGAAAATGGCAACAACAGGATAATATAGATACATGAATATATTTTTGAACATACTTACAGTCAATTAAAGTAAAAAAAAGGACGACACTAAATTTAAAATGGATAAGAGATCAAATAATCATCACTGTTCACTACCCTACCACAACAAAATATTGTACACTGGGTGAGAGGAGGGGGAGGGGATACTAGTTGCTGTTGTACACTGTTGGCGAGCGCCATCTGTTGTGATGGACCTGAACTAATTTCAAAAATCAATACACACGTTTTTGGCCGCTTTTGCCGCATAAGAGCACCTGCGACACACAGTACGTCTGTTTAGCCGGTGATTTATTACTTTCATCCACACAAAAAGTTACTAAAATTCGTTCTTGTCAATTAGAATCGTTCTACTACAACTAAGTGGGGCAATGAAAAGTGCAGTTTGTTAAAATTTTCTGTAGGATAAAATAGTAAAATGTTAACGATGTTGAAAAAATTTAAGCAAGAAAGGTGACGTGTTTGCTCGAAAGGTTGCAGATTTTAAAATTACGAGGCATGACTGCCACTCTAAATAAACTGCCCATATATCCAAGGCTCATCTACTTGATTATGTTGTATACTTTCACTGAAGGGGCTAATGAATACAAAACGAGTTTTACGTTCCGCGAGTATCCTTTCAAGGAAACGAGTAAAAATGTACGTAGTTAATAAGTCTTTTTTTGGCTCATTTTCTGTAAACTTCTTTGGAAATGAATACATAATTTATCAACCTAAAGTTACTGTAAATGTTTCGATAGTTAGTTAGTAACTGGACTGAGTTAATTAGAAACGTGCCAAGTAGCATCGAATTTGAACAAAGAAAAGGAGGTCTAAAAGTTTTATGCCTCCATTAGACTCAATACTAAGGATAAAGTTTGACAACTATTTCACGAACAAAAATATTTTTTTCCGGTTTTAATTTTTTAATTACTCTGAGCTTATCTTTGTTCAATGCGACTCAGTGCATTTCTGTTAAACTTTACTTTATTTTATTTTTACACCTGGTGCATGAGCCATATACATGGCCATAATGCAGGTTACGCTAGATAGTTACATGATACACAGAGAAAAAAGTGACAGTTGTTTTGACAAGAAAGACAGCTTCAGAAGACTGGAGATGGATAAATTCTTCCTCAGAGCCAACTTGATCCAATTACTCTCATCGTAACTATCCTTAAAAATGTTAATTTTTCACGCTTTCAAATTTTAAAATAGAATGAGCCACGTTTGAACCGGTTTTCTTAATTTAAGAGCTCTGTCTTTTCTTACGTACTTCAACTTAAGACTAGACTAATACTAAGACTTTCGATGGTTTTCACGTACAAGCGATCACCATTTATGTTCTCTGAATATTCTATGCATAAGAGAAACATTACTATATCAATAGCTAATTTAAAAAAATGAGTACCTTAATTGCAATATTTAAAAATCCCCGATTGTGTTTCATATATTTCGAGAGCAACAAATCAAAATTTTGACTTAAAATTTGAGTGAAAACTTTAGAATAAGTGCAGAAAATTTACAGAAAATTTCAACAGGAACTGCTAGTTACTTACAGAGAGAGAGACTTAGAGACTTACAACATCGCAATCTGAGATACTTTTTTTCCAACTTTAGCCATATATAAAATGATGGTGAAACTATTAAAAAATCTATTTTGCATGTTGCATGTTACAAAATTTCCACTTTTACATGATTCTTTGAAGAAAAAGTTACAGGACAATTTTGCAACACATTTCAGGTAATATTTCACACATTTTGAATTTTTCCAATATTAATGATCAGTCAACTGATCACTTATCACCATGTTGTCATAGCAATAACAGTTTGGAAAAACCTTTTTGAAACTCTGAAAAACTATTAAAATAAACTAGGACAAAAGCCCCACTTGGATATTTTGCTAGGTAAAATCTGCATGAACGATTCCCTGATAAAAGTACTGATTGTTTACGGTCCTTTTCTTTGTGAATTTTCCAACACCTTTTTCTAATATTTACAAAAGTTGACAGTTTTACAATCAGGTACAAAAGTTGAGCAGATCTTTGAAGATTTTTTAGACGTTTTATCAAACAAAATTTTGATACCTTCAAAGTTTACTTCAAAAATACCCATGAAGAGTTTCTTAAATTTTAGCAGTTTTTTTCCGGAGTTGTCTCTGTAAAATTTGTAAGTTTTTTTCAGAAGTTCAAAAATGTGCTGTGAAAGGATTGGTATCCTTCGAAATTGAAAAAGTGATACACGTGTATGAATACACACACTTCTTTAACATTAACATACAGTTAACCTGATTTTATGAAATTCCAGGAGATCATATTCCACGAGTTTGAGCACGCTTGCGAGCAAAATCCAAGTTGCGCCCAATTAGTTGGTGTCAAACATGTTTCTTGCGCTCGAGAGTGCGTATCACCGACATGCTACAAAGAAATCTACCGTCCAGATGAGGTACAAACACTAGAGATGATCACATTCATTATAAAAACGAAAAAATGAAGACTCTGCATTGAAAATTAATAAAATTGACTCTCCATATTATGAAGGAACAAACAAATTTTAAAGTAACAATGAGGAGATTACTCAATTCAAGAAAATTGTAACTACCCTAAGTCTAAACCAGTCTTTAGCCTGAGGGAACCAAGTGACATTTTAAATTTGGATTTTCAAAAATTAAAAATGTTGGAAACAGTTTTAAGCTTGCCTGGAAACATATTTTTTCCTGTCAAAAATCTGATACCTGCCAAAAGTAATCAGTATGCAAAAAGTGGACTTGAAGCTTTGTCACATTTTGCTGTGCAGGAGGATGAAACTTTAAATCCATTTTTCTCTAAAACCGCGCATACAAGAAACCTGCGTTTACATTTGGATCTGCATTAAGTGTTAATTGCTTAATTTATTTTTCTTAATTTGTCGAATCAAAAGGGTGAAATCACTAATTTGCTATTAAACTTCCTAAGATCTTTTCTCTTCAACTTTCAAATGAGAGGGAAGAAAAGAAAAAACTAAATTTAATTTGTGATTGATAGTGCAGATGAAAATAAATTAAAAATTTGAATTTGTTACAGTTGGAGGAAGGAGAGATTGACGTCAGACTGAACTCATTTAAAGGTTGCTTCATTCAGCAACTCAGTCGCAGATAAGATGGAAGCGACCAAACCTAACCGGTCTTCAACTAAATTTAAAGTACAGCTTCCCAGTGGTAACAACAAAGACTAACTTTTAGCAGCATATCACTTCTTTGGTAATTTTATTCAGAGGCGGAGCCATAAAAATTTCTCTCTTCGAATGAACCGCGATCTCTTATAACTTTTTTACAACAAACTTTCCTTATTTTCACTAATGTTTAGCGAGAGGGGGCCCAGTGATTTTGACCTGGCACAGAGGAAAATAGGCTGGAAGTTGTATTTTCACATAAGATTCAACGTAAATAACAACCTTCGGGTCAATTTTCTGCTTATTAAATTTTTTTTATTTTTGTGGATAGTAAATGGAGGCGGGGGAACAAATGCCTATGTATGAAGTCAAAACGTCCCACAGCTCAATTCTTTTGAAAAAGTCACTTGGTTAGTTTTTGCTTAACACTGCGTAATTATAGGTAATCAACAAATTCTAAAGATTCATGATTTCATCAAAATGTGAAATTAGAAATACTGAATTAAAATTACCTAATTGAAGAGATGCTTTTAACAAGCCATGTCATGACAAGAATTCATCTAATAGATTTAAATTCAGTCAGAAATTGCTCAATTGTTCAATTGATGGTGATATAATTTTTTCTTAAAATTTGGAGATTTGTTATATTTATAAGCATCTTAAAATCTGAGCTATAAATGCAATGTTTAAAATCCTAACTTAGATTTAACTTTTCTTTGATGATAAGGCACTCCTTTGCTGAAAGATCAGTTTTTTACCCTTGAGAGAGTTGATCGTTTCTGGTGGGATGATGTACTTCATGCTGATCAACTGCAATAAAAATTATAAAAAAACATTAGGTGAATAGAAGTGAATGTGGCTCACTATAAGTTGAATCTTTCAAAGGTGCGATAATGAAGGAGAATATTGAAGAGATGTCTCTCCTCTATGCCAAATTTTTATAGGTGCTTTGCGTATTCCAGAAGAATGATTTTCTAACTTTTATGTACGGATCTTTCTTTATAAGTCGCTAAATTTTAAAAACTACATTATACTGCAAAAAGATGTTCATTCTCGTAATATACGTTTTTTGATATTTTTATTTCCTTCTTTTTCTATGGTCCTTGACTTTCCGTCTTGAATGCACCTGCAATTCAACTCAACCGGTAAGAATTTTAGTTCTTAGTTTTTGCAGCCCGAGGAAAATGTTTTCCAAAATCGAAGCTCTGCATTACATTCAATGGACCAAGAGAGTTCTACCTCCATTATCATGTAGAGCAAATCTTTCTCAAAGAAATGCTTTTAATGAGCCATGCTATGACACGAATTTGACTTGTAGATTTAAATTCAGTCAGAAATTTTTCAAATGATCAATTGAATCTTCAAGTTCGAAAATGACCCGATTCATGTTTTTACGATGTTCATTTGATTTCCATAGAGACACTCCTTTGCTAGTTGTTACACAGTTTTTATCGTCTCGAGACGTGCCATTTTCGAACTGAGAGATTCAATTGTTCTTTTTAGAAATTAAAAATTAAATTCTTAAAATCATTCCAAATTTTTAAATAGTCCAGGCCTTATGTTTGTGAAGCATTTTTGATCTGAAAAAAGGTCAGAGCTTTTTATGACATCACACCATGGGATGGACACTGTGCTTTTCTTGATTTTCAATAATTTTTTTCAACAGCAGGCAAGGGCGATTTTACAAGTTAGCACCACTATTTTTCCTCCATTTAAAACCATTGAATATATCGATTTTACGTGAGGCCATGGTGAGACAGGCTGCCTCACTAGGAATCAATTATTTTACATTCCTTTCGATGGAGAATTTTTTTTTTTTTTTTTTTTTATTTTTTTTTATTCTTCAATTTGGTACAATAGAAAAATCACATAAAAAAAAGAAAGCTACACAAGTTATGATAATCCATTCTGATACCTCCCGGTATTGTCCGTCAGACATACATTGGGCACGGAGAAAAAACAGTGTTACCAACTTACAAGAATCGCCTCTGACAGTAGGTCCATTACGTTTCTAATTTTCTTAGCAAAAGGTACAATCTTGCTTCAAAATGAAAGGGAAAATATGATGTGAAAATTAGGCTTACGTACCACATCTATGAGCGATTCCAGACTCTGCAGTATGGGAGATATTTCTTCATTTGTTTCATGTTCAGTCAGGAATGAGAGAAGTTTTGCGCTTGTGTTCAAAATAGCGCGGTAGAGTCTTGATATAAGAGGAGCTTGAGTTCTCCGTTGGCTGATGAGTACATGTCTTATAAGCTGATCTGGGATGGAAAGGAATGAAAAGAAAATATCATAGAATAATATTGCTAAGAAAACTTAAATATAATTGCTTTTCAGTTTTACTTGGACTAATTCGATCAGAATCGGCCCAACTTCATGAGATGTTGCCAATTTTTTTCTAACGTTTTATTTCCGAACAGAAAACTGGGCAAAACTAAAACTTGAAATTTCGTGAATTTAATTCTCATAAGCTGGGATGAATTCACAGAGTTTATAAAGCTGGGTAGTTTAGTTCTCTTAAAAAAAGTATCGGATATTTTCCGTTTCTTCTAGTTATTACCGTTGGTAGAACATACTTAAAAATTGCTCAAGCAGTTTGAAAGCTTTAGTTTATCTAGATGATTGATCTTGATACGCACCTGCATAAACACTTGTGAACCAATCGGCCAAAAAATCTAGGAAATTCTTGCTAAACAGTTCCCTGAGATCATCCGTTATTTTGAGGTAGAAAAAAACTGCTTCGGGAAATGCAGAATGCGTGACAAAATGAGCGTGCATCTTGCGAGAGTTAAGCCTCTTACTCCGATCCAAAATCAGCTCAAAGCATTTGAAAATTGCTTGCATCGTACTGTTATCATACTGGAATGAGAAATATGATTTAATCATAATGAAGAACATTACAACACCAATGCTTACCAGCATTTACAGCTGATGATTCGGGAGAAGGGGAAAAAACATTGAGAACAACAATTGCCCATGAAAAAATGCTGGAATCCATTAAAAAAAGTAAAAAAGTTGCCTTTAAAAGCAGTTACAAGAAAATTTCTGGCATACAAAAATATCCTTTACTTGACAAGAGACATCATTCCTATTAAAAGCAAAAAGAACATTGGTACTGTAAAACTGAATGTTTTCTTTAACAAAAAATCCTGCACTTTAATGAAAAATCGAGACCAAAACAGATTCATAACAAGAGGAACTCCCAAATTTGAAATGTTTTAAAATCTGGGCTCTCATTTAATTTTTTTGAAGGAGAATAAATCAACATCATTCCTTGAATTTTCACAGAATTTTTTGCGCACAGAGAGGAAAAATCACGAAAGTTTTTAAAACTGATGCTCAGTAGTTTTCCAACAAATAAATCCTGCTCTGAACGAAAAATTGAGACCAAAATAGGAACATAATAATGGTGAAACTCCCAAACCATCTTGTGTGCAGCAATTCAAAATCTCCCCTCTCATTTTATTTTTTCAAAGGAGAAAAAAATCAACATCATTCCCTAAATTTTGAAAATAAAGTATGACAAGGAAGTCTGCAACATCAGAAACCGAGATACTTGGTTTAGGAGTTTCACAGTAGATGAATATTTACCTTCATGAAGAGATATAAGAAATGAAGAAGGGCTGTCCGCAAGAAGTCAAAAGACAATTCGTCCTTCAGTGCCAGACAATTTTCAGTTTCAGGTTTGAGAATGAACGTCATCAGATTGACACTCACAGATACTAATTCCATTGAGGCATCCGCGCTGTTTTCCAGAATGCAGTTGGGACTTACATTCATCTTTGGCTCCATCTAAGTGAAATTAGAGATCGATGTTTGAGTATGTAAATTAAGGCAAGATAAGGTAGGTAATACAGATTTTCATGCACAAAAATCATAGCTTGAAATCCCTGAAATTTTCAACAGAATCTGAATGAGCAATCTCCAGTCTAAGTAAATTATGCGTTGATTTTTTATTAAATTATACGTTTATATTTTATTAAATTACTTAAATATTTTCTTAAATTATACGTTGATGCCACTTGGATCCCTTTTGCTAACCACTGCATACCTATTGCTAAAGGGAGAAGTTATGCCAAATTCTTGGCTTAGGGTCAATGCATTCTGGGTACAATGAGTGTATTCAAAATTCTCGCTATTAGCTAAATTATTTTGAAAAAATCAAAATTTTATTCTCTAGACCCATCACTGAAAAATGTTCGTGCCAAAAATCATCTTCCAAAATCCAAAAATATGGTCTTAAGTACTGTTTCCAATTAGCCATCGATACCGTTACATTGAAATCAGTTGCAAATTGGAAACAATTTGACTTTATTTTATGACTTAGAAAAATGATTCTCCTCACAAAAATTCCTTATTGATTGGCCTGGAGACTGAGCTTTTGATTTTTCAGCGATACAGCGATTGCACCCAGACTGCATTGCGTTACAGTTAAAGATACTTTAACTCTTTCATATTTACAGTCCAGGGGGCTGGAGGCATTTGTTTATCAATTTAGTTACAAAGATAAGGCTATCAACTGGAAAGAAAACCTCGGTACTAATACATTCAAAATTAAGTCATTGGTGCGACTGTTCAAAGGAGTCTTATGCAAACATTTTGGCACAAAAAATGCCCATAGTTATCAAGCAAAACTAAAGATATGGCAGTTGAAAAGTTGCAGTTCAAACAATGGAATCTGAAGAAAATTTAATGTAAAGTCTGATTCCACCTCTAGGCAGGGGCAAAAAACCTTGTGTCATAAATTTGTCAAACAGAGTAACTGTAAAATTTCCACAGATTAAAATTGAGAGAAATGTGAGAGGTGGGATACCTGATGATTTGGTGGTAAGAACTTCAAAACTGATAGAAAGAGGTTAGAAGAGTGGTAGCGGACGCAAACGTCAGGGCTCTGCAAATTCACTTCTAATCGACTTAAAAACTTGGGATCAGTGGCAATAACCAGAGGAAGTGACTCTTAAAGGATGAGGGTAGGAGTGAAGAGTGAAACAAAGAGAAGGAAATCGAAAAAAGAGTTGATTAAGTGAACATGACTGCGACTTAATAAAATGCTTGTGTCTCTAAATAGCTATCATGACCAGGGTGTCTACTAAAACAGGCTGACCAGAAATCAGTACTTTTTTGGTACATTCCCAAGAAATTCAGTACCTCCCTAACAGAAAAATTCAGTACTTCTTCACTACCTCCAATTGACGAAATTCGAAAAATTTTAAAAAATTTGAATTTCTCATTCCAATTACTGAACTTAGTTCTTAAAAAAAAGAGTAAACTTTTACTTCCTTGTTGTTTTTGATTAATTAAATGGCATTTAATTTATTACAGGATATAATTCTTTCATTTAATGCAGAAACAACATTTATAACTTCCCAAAGAACTTTGCCATGTTTTTTCGTGAAGATAATGAGTGGCTAAACTTTAGCGAAACATAGTTAACCATTAAGTTCCCCCGAAATGGTTAGGAGCCAGCACCGTTTCTCCACCTTGTTCCATTTCCTCAAGTTAAAAGTTAAAATTGTTGTTTTTTCTAGTAACGCGCGATGCTTTCATTATGAAAAATATGAAATTCAAAATTACTTTCATCGATGCAATTAACGGAATTATCGGAGATCAGTTGAAACGAAAAGTACAGCAGATTGGCGGTATATTAGTTTGATTACCTTCATAGAAGAGCAGTGTGCTCATGAGTTGAATTATTTTCGAAATAATCACGTAGTTTTTTCGACTGGTGCTTTCTCTCTGCTCCCACTTTTCCCAAAACGAGAGGAGCGAAGAGAAAAGGCTTTGTTTCATTACAAGATCCATTTTTACGGGAGGGCAAAGTCTGAGAAGACTGACGATGTAATAGACATTTGTCTCTGAAAAAAAAAAAGAAAAGAAATGAAAATGCAGAGAAGGATATATAGTGCAGTGGTTATTAAAAGGCAGTGGCGTAATTAGAAATCTTCGCTGCCCTCCCCACTAATTTGAAGCATTGCTCCCCTCAACAGTACCTTTCTTCTTTCCTTCCTTCAATTTTTTCGTTCAAACTTTCCACTTCCAAAAAAAAACCAATTATATGTACGTTCGTCTGGCAGATAGAGGATTCATTACTTGGAGCCCCTATATTAAAACACTACTTGTAGGGATACAATACCTGTAGATGGCTCTGATGCAAAAACCAGAAAGGCTCTTTTCCACAAAATTGTGTGATAATCTTGATTTTTCTGGACAAGATGGTAGAAGATTTGAACAGCTCGTTTGGCAGCAGTGGCATTTTTGGTATCACATAGGGCATTCTAAAGGCAGAAAAATCTACGATTACAATCTCAAGTCTCAATTCAGATGAATTTTGGTTGGAATGGGTGGATTTCAGCTATTAGGATAAAATATGGGAAAGACAACTGGTTGCTCAAAACTTTCAATTATAATATTTTCTCTCAATGTTTAGTTTTTTGCGTAGAAGCAGGCCACACCAACCCTGAAAAAATTCTTCATGAGATGTGAATAACTCTAAACCTTTATCTCAGCGTGCTGAACAGTGAAAATGTCAGTTTGGTGACGTGTAACTCGGAGGTAGTCAGTGTATCAAATCGTTACATAAATAAACCGGGACCTTTTGCAAGCTTTGTTTAATTTTTTTTAAAGTCTTGAATGTATATGATTTTATATGATATGCATTGAAACCCCTGAAAACTATATTACTCCATTTAATTTGAGACTTGAAGCGTGTAACTCAATATCATGTCAGTTTGGTGACGCTATGTGTTTTAGTTTGTGGCCACTCAAGAGAAAGTGCTTGTGTGCGGATTAAGGCATGACTGAGAGCGGAAGTGGAGAACGAACAGACACGTACTTGATAAGTCCACATATTTCTTCCAATTTCAGCATTATTTCAGTTTTTTCCATGGTTTTTGGAGTGTCTCTTATTCAATGTCAGTTTAGTGACGCTGTTTTCCATCAAAAATTTTGGTGGAATATGCAAGGATAATGTGAACGAATATTTTTTTTCTTACATTTACAGGTGGGGTCTTGACCCAATCTTAATGATTCGTTTGATTTTGTTATTGTGAATTGGCAGGAAAAATTAATAACAGCAAAATGTCAGGTTTGGTGACGTCACCAAACCTGACATGTCCAAACCAAACTGACATGCCAGGCTTGGTAAAGAAAAATAATCGTAAAGATATTGCAATGAACGTAATTAAATCCTGTAGTATGGAGCTCTAAGATAACAGAAAATTAGTCTTTAGCTTGATATGGCCAAATCACTTATCAACTTTTTTTCAGGACCATTTTCTCCCATTAGCTGAAATCCACCCGTAAGTGTAGTATACACGCTAGACCATGCTAGACACTGTTGTCTGGCATGCATTCTTCATTTGTTGACTTTCTCCGGCACTGAAGTTTCTGATTTAAAAGGTCTGGGTATCCTCAAAAAGAGAAGGGACTAGTGGGGTCTGGACTACACAAAATATTATGGGATCCTCTCACAAAGCAAGAGAGCTGTAGAATTTTATCTTCTTTTCTTTTTAAATTGTATAAATTTTCTGTGCTTTTTTTGAGATTTTGAGAAAATTTTCATAATATTTCTAGTCCTTCCAAAAAACTGGCGAAGTTTTGAGAATCCTTCTAATTTTGGAGTCTTAAGAGTCCCCTCTCAATCTTTCCGGATGTTTCACAGTATTCCCAATTTTCTGGCAATTTTCGAGTTTTTTTGAAAAATCCCTTCCTAATTTTTTTGCAAGTGTCCATATTTTTCTAACTTTCTTCAAACTGTCTAAATTTGTATTATTTATCTTAGCAAAATTTAGAATTTTCTCCGATTGTCTTCAATTGACTGAAATTTTTAACTTTAAAGTCCTTTTCGTGGCGCAGCGTTGTACTAAAACACACTTTTCATTGTTTTACAAAAAATCTTGAAAAGTAGGTAAATATAGTAGCTTTTTTTAGGACAACTTTCCCTGATAAAAGACTGCACACAAAATTTCAAGGAATTCAGTGCCTGCTAAATTATGCTATTTTATATGATGTTACTCACAATTTTCTGAGTCAGATGACTTTTTGAAATCAAACTTTGTGAGTTCCAATCTTGAGAAAATTGGGTGTGAAAAGTGCCATTTTTTGGAATTTAACTTACAGCTTGAAACTTTTGTCAAAAAAACAAACTGAAGCTATGAGATGGTACCCATTAAACAGTTCCTTTGGCTGCCGTGCAGTTTTAAGAAGATATACTAACCAAAACACAATTAGCAGCTTTTTGGGAGACCAGACAAAGATTTTGGAGGGTTAGAAAAGAAGTTCTCTTCAAATTCAGCAACCAACTGTCCACCTGCAAGTATAAATTGACATAAACAAACAAAAAATACAATTGAATGATTAGTTTGAAAAGGCATAACGGTCCATCCCAGGTTTTTGTAATCTTAATTTTTTAGCAGAAAAACATTTCAACGGTTAAACTTCCAAACCCCGAATCTCAGTCTGCAACGTTGCAGATTCCCTTTCATACTCTATCTTTTAAATACAGATCTCCTAGACGTCAATTCTTGAAAACTTCTGTGATTTTCCTTCTTTGTGCGAAGCAAATTTTGTTAAAACTTAGAGGCATGATGCTGATTTGCTTTCGTTTGATGTAATAAAATAGGAGTGGAGATTTTAAGACACCGCAAACAAGAATAACGTGATACATGATTTCACCTACGATGTGCTCTTTAAAGAATGGCACTGTACCGCCTGTATTGAAACAAGAGTTGGTTGAACTACATAATTAAATAATTTCACAAACAGGATATACCTCCAAAATAGAATGATTTTAAAGGTTTAAGCTGTTTTCATTGAATGCCCTGAGGTTAATTCACTCAACGTAGGTCTGGTCAAATTTTCGGAATTTCTGATAATTTTCTCTAGAGGAGATAAAAAACATTCGGATGGCAATCAAACAGTTGAAAAACAATGCAAGTCTTCACTTTGAAGCTATCTTTTTTTCCAGATTCAAATCTCTCATTATTTTCAAGTAGGAACCAGTCATACATGACGTCAAGAGATTCTACTAGTTTCCAAACTCCAAAAAAAATTTACCACCATGATTCTTCTGAAGATCATGCAGGTTATATTGCTTCCTGTAGATTTCTTTTAATGGAGATGGGTCATTTTCAAACTGATATGAAATACCAAGAGTATGGTGATTTTTTCTTTTTATTCAGAGTGAAAAGAGGAGGTCGGCTGATTAAAATAAAGAAAAGTCAGGCTTTGAGGAATTGAACCTCAAATTTTCTATAGAAAAAACCCACCACTTTTTCTTGAAGATAAGGAATATCACACTGAAAGGCCCACATCAAGACAGCATGATGAGGCAGAAATATTGACTCAAAGTGTTCTTCATTCTTCTCTACAAATGAAATCACTGCTGATTTAGCCTCTGGCAATTTTCTTATTCTTGACTTATCCTTGCAGTTCATGAACATTATCTAATTTGAAAAATAAAAAACAAATGAGCTAGTAAAAACAAATAAAGAGTGACGCAACCAATGCCAAGGCTTTTAAATGTTCCAAAAGTGGGTTGAAATTAATTCAAGACTGGAGAAAGAATTATTAAAAGTATTTAAGACTTTAACAGAAAACTTGCTTAAAAGACAGACTTATTTAAACAGTCTAAAGCAGAAAATCCTACTAAGAGGGTGTTGATGGCCTTGGCAGAAAAAAATTCCCCGTCTTTCTCAGGGTTTCCCAGTCCAAAATACTCAATATTTCCTTGCTTTTCACACCGTACCGTACATGCATAGAACTCAAAATAAACAATTTTTGGGATTCCTATTCCTGTAAATGACAGAAACTAGACCCTTTTTCTAAAGGTATTAATCATGAAATTAATCAAAATTTCAATTCCTTGATGAAACCATTCTTCTATCCACCGTTCAGTACATATAACTTCTAGCACTGAACTCAGTCCGATTGCGCAGACAGCGCTGATGCTTTTTCAGATTTCAAGTAAAGTTGGGTCGGGTATCCGGCGATTATCCGGCCGGATACGATTTTTGCGAGTATCCATACCTGGCCAGATAATTGCGATATCCTGTTTTTGGACCCGCCGGATACTGCTTTTACGGCCGTGAAAATTACGAGAAATTTTTGATGATACTTTGTCATTTTTTGGCACACTTAGAGTAGTCATTGTAATTTTTTTAACTTCGCGAAACCTGTTATCACCGGAATTAAGGATGTTTCCCGCACATTTTCACAATTGCAACATGATCCTCAATTCCGAAAGTCCGCGTGTTTCACTTTCAAAGATGAAGATGCAGGGGAAAGAGGAAAAAAAAAAACAATGCCACCAACATGTGCATAAGTTCTCTGTTGGTGACGTTTTTAGTCCGAGTGTAACTCCACAATTATTGTAATGTTGCAGTACGCAGCTTGTTATTGCAGCATCAAAGCGCTGTTTTCTACTTAGGTCTTGTTTAGGCACTATTTTAATAATATCTCTCTTTCTGCACATCAGATTCGTCTGGTCCTTCACACCATGAAGCCAATGAAAGCCATGCTGCTTATCTGCCAGGTCTTTTTTTTAGTATTCGTTTTAGCGGGCCAACTCATAGCATATCATTAAAAATTTGAGGGTTGCTAGTGCAAAGGCACATATATCGTGGATGACGGTCTTGATGGTGTAATACACAGTTTGCCTCTCATCCCAACCGCGAAATTGGGAGATTTTTCTCATGCAAAAAAGCACTAGCCGGATCCGGTCCTGGCCAGATACCTTGGCGAAGTCTCCGGTGTCTGGCTCCAGCCTGATACAAAAAATCGAGATCCGTATCCGGGTGGCGCTAAAAATCCATTTCGGCCCAACTCTAATTTTAAGTTCCAAGAATTGTTAGATTTCCAGTCTTTTTCATAAAATTCCCTGATTTTTCTTTGACCTGATGAAATTACCTGACAGTCATTTGAGATTTAACAGTAGGCTTTGCTCTTCGAACACTCTTCGCACACGTTGTGCAAATATTAAAAGTTTTTAAAGGATCTCTTAAAAGTCTGCTCAAAGTCCCCTACATGCATATTGTAAAAGAGTTTCTCCATGGAAAATTTGTTGTGAGAGTAAATTTTAGCAGATTAGGTGTAAAAAAGCAGAGAAAAAAATTCTAATCCTAAAGACAATGAAGTCTAACTTACGGCAAAATTAAACCAAAGCAGTTTGAAGAGATTCAAAGAAAACTCCGTCGGAATAGCTGTGAGACAATGACAGATGCTGGAGAAAACTTTCGATACAACACTGCAGCTGTTAAAAAAAAAGAAAATCTAACTGAGAAAAACTACAGCTTTTTCAAGGTCTCAAGTACAACTACGTCTAAAGCAGCTTTATTTTGTTGATTTTTCCTTGCAAGTTCAACGTGTAAGACTCATTATGACAAAAAACTGCTGACGATAAAATTTTAGTGATATGCCATGACGGGAACCACATTCTTCTGTTTTCATCTTTCATTCTTGTCTCCCTCTCATGGTTATCTACGTGATAATAGAATATAAATTAAAAATCAGGAAAAGATAAGAAGTAAAAACCGATTACAGTTGGCAAATAACTATTAGACAAGGTACAAACTAAAGCATTTCGAGACATGTTTGCTTATGATGGAAATGTTAAAAATAATTTCTTAAACATACTCATGTGAGGCGATCAAATTTTCTTGTGCATTCATTGCCCATGAACAGGGTTGGGACAAGTTAAAATTAATTAAATTTTTAGCGTAGTAACTTGAACTTAAACTTTATTTTTTGAATCGAGTTTGAAAGCCTAATGTGCTTCGAAACCTATTCCAATAAATAAATTTAAAGTGCTAGTGAATACACTAAATTTTTTAAATATTTTATTCCCTTGCAAGTTCGTTATTCTCATACAATTCTGTATCCCTACAATCTATTTGACAAGCACTATTTTTTAAAATTGATCAGTGCATGGTTGAAAAATATAAGGGATAAACTAAATTACCTGCTGTAGAAGTAATGATTTACACCAAAGAACAGCAAAACCGCCGATAATTCTGCAACAGAGGTTTTCGGAAACTGGAGAAAAACTTGCGGCCAGGCAGATATTTTACTTGGAAGAGCGTCAAAACCTGACGTAAGAGTATGTTGAAGGAGCTTGCAACAGTCATCATTCTCAGAGTCGATTCGTAGTTCATTTTGGCTTGCTGACATTATAACTTGGACCAGGATTGAATTTATTGTAGACTGCAGCTCGCTACCTTGACTGAAAAAAGCACATCACAAAATTGAGAAGGTTGAAGAAGTGATGACATTAATTTCAAGTCTTCCACTTAAAAATTTTGCAGCATCGGTGCAGATTACCATAGTTTTATTTCATTTTTGTATTGCGATGAGTTACACCTAATAAAATATCAGGCTCATAAAAGCTTATCAATCTAAAATCAAGGATTCAAAATGATATCTCAAGGAATTCCAGAAAACAAAATTTTAGTAGCTTAGGAGAGTATCTTCAAAATTAAATCCATTAACCTTCAATCTCTGCTATCTACACACAGTTGGGCAAAAATATGCAACAAGGATATGGATATTTGACATTTCAGAGGTCTAATTAATCATACACAAAATAATCTGATGACGCAAAATTCAGGAAAGTTTTGGTAAGTTCCCAAGATTTAAGGATATTCCAGGACTAATTGATGAATTCGCCAAAAATTAGCCCAACTGGATTTCACATGTTGATGGTCAAAAAGCAAAACGACGTATCTTTATTTGCGACATTGTAGACTTCCTGTCATACTTTATTTTTTCTTTGAAACAGTAGTTGACAAAATTTGTTGAGAATGTCTTTGATTTGTCTTCTCTTTTAGCAGGATATCCTGTAAAAATTTTAGGCCATAAAGTTGGCATAATTCTCTTCGAAAAACCAAAATAGGGACAGAAATTTTGAAAAACTGCAATGAAGATAAGTGATTTTCCACTTAAGCCATCAATTTCTTAATTTTCTCTCATGGATTATTTTTTAACAGAGAACTGAACTACTTAACTCCTTTACACTCTATGAATTTACCCAAGATTATCAAGAGAATACTCTCAAAGTTTGAGGTTTCAATGTTGCTTCGTTATCTGTTTGAAAAATAAAATGTCAGAGAAAATTAGGCAACAACTGATGTTAATAGAATGGTTTCAGTTGAATTCAATCATTTAAGGCATCACAAACTCTCGTTGTAAGTCTTGTGTTTTAAAAGATTTTGGCATTTTATTTTCTCCTTGCTAGACGTTTTCACATGACAGTATACAAAGAATGGGAAAAAGGAGCTGTTTGCATTTCAAGCGCCCTGGAAAAGTGGTAGATAACGTAAGAAGTGTACAGATATTTTTCTCATGAATTTCTCAAAAGTGGTGGGGTTAATGGGAAAAAAGCCGTACTTTCAAAAGTGTTTAAAACAATATTTGGGGCTGAAGTACATCAAAACAACGGATGGTATGTTCTGTTATTCATACTTTGAATTGCAGATTTTGCAGGAATATTAATGTCATTCTGTGCCCGCTTCCATCACAGTGTGAAAATCAGAATTTGTTACTACATTATTTCTTCTCTCTGTGCAGCGTAAAATTTATTCGGGATATACTTTTTTCATTTTTCATATGATATAGGTATCATAAATACGATGCAAAAAAAGAGAAAAAAATTACAAGCTACTTATAAAATGCATTAATGCTACTTCTAAGAAATTCTTGACTTACTCAGATTGAAATCTAAAGACAGTCAGAGAATAAAACAGACCACTCTCAGCTATTTGCACATAAAGGGGTTTTTTGTTTCCCACATACTTCTCCAGTTTTAGCCATTCATTGATCAAGGTAAGAGCTGCAAGGTTAAGTTTTTCATTCATTTTGGATTCTCGAGATATCTGCAAAAGAAAAGACTTGACTTACACTTGATACATTGCTAGAGAACACAGAATAAAATTATTTCATTTCTGTGCTGTGGAGTGTCATGGATAAAGGTGTCAAGTGACATCCTCTTGATTTGGTGAAAAACAAATTTTACGTTGAAAAATCACACATAAGCTTAAAACACAGAATAACTTTGAACTTAGGTATCGAAGGAAATGTACTGTGCTCGGTTTTTTCGATGTATTCTTTGAGCTTAGTTTCATTCAAAAAGACTTCATACTAAATCAATTTTTTCTAAACCGTCAATGAACATTTACATCCTTCATTAGTACGTACATACCTATCTTAAATAAACACATAAATGGCTAAAGGGTGATGAACCCTGGTTAGAAAATATCCTAATTTTAAACTCAATTTCAGGAACAAGGTTTTAAATATTTCTGTGATCAATTCACTTAATTTTTATCTCTTTTGCCGTAAATAAATGTGTGAAATCTCAATAATGAGATGCCAAACTAACTGAGTACGGAATTACACACCATATTTGAAATTAATAATTGTGCTCAAAAGGTTTTTCATTCGATCTTTCAATTTGTAGGATAGAATGTTTGACAAATGATAAACTAAATGGTGTCAGAAAAACTTGAATGATTCGTAAATTTTAAAGAGAAAACTCTTAAACTATTGAACTAGCAAGGTTGGGAAGCTTTTTTTGTACTTAAGGGCGTAAAAATGCTACTTTACACTTTTACAAATTTTGTACCACTTTTTTCAGTAAATCCAGAGAAAAATTTTGCATTCAATTTCAGTTTTTCATGTTGCATATTTAGCAGATTAAATACTGTCTGGCATCAATATGAATAATTTTCAAAATTAAACAGAATTTTGATGCAAATTTTTTTTCCCCGACAGAGTTTTACTTGAAAAAAAAAGAAGCCATTTTAGTTCATTAATTTTGACAATTTTGTTCAACTGTTCTGTTCAAAAAAGTCCAAACTCAACAATTGAATTCATATCGTTTTTTGAAAGGATAATAAAAACATGTTGTAAAACTAATCTTACCGATAATAAGAAGGGAATTAGAAAAGAACTGATGATTTCATGTATCGAGATCAAAAACTGCGTCCTATTGTCAGCTGAGTTGCTAAACACTTCAGACTTCCTGCAAAAACGGAGAGAGAATTAGCTATCTAAGGGGCTATTCAAGTATTGCGTAAAACACTTTTTCAGATTTTTTAACCCCCCTCCCCCCCCCCCTTGTAACGT